ATGTTCTTTTCCAGTTGAAATACTTTGTCTTCATTGTCTGATGTTCTATCTTCTAAGTGTTCTACTCTGCTGGTAGTATTCTCCATTGAGTTTTTAAGTTGGTTTATTGCTTCCTGCATTTCTAGGATTTCTGTTTGTTTGTTTTTTATAACCTCTATCTCCCTGTATAGTTGATCCTTTGCTTCCTGGATTTGTTTGCGTAATTCGTTGTCGAAGTGATCTTTCATTGTCTGATTTTGCTGTTTAATGTCTTCCTTGATACTCCAGATCATTTGAAGCATGTATATCCTGAATTCTTTATCTGACATTCCATCTGCTGCAGCTGTTACCTCTTCTAAAGTTGCGTTGACCTGCATTGCTTGTGGTCCTTTCTTTCCTTGTCTTTTCATACTGCTTGCGTATCTTTCCTGCAGGTGCGGGCGGCGGCTCTGCTCTCTCCTTATTCCAATTGGGGTTTCGTGGCTACCACGCCGGCAGGTCACTGGGCCTGTTCTGGGAGCTGGCGGCGGCTCTGTTCTGCCCCTGCTCTGATTGGGGTGACGAGTGTACCACGCCGGCAGGCCACCGGGCCTGATCCGCCGGTCGGTTGCAGGTTTGCCTACCCTGCAGGCGCGGGCGGCGGCTCTACTCTGCCCCTACTCCAAATGGGGTGACGTGTCTGTCGTACCGGCAGGCCACTGGGCCTGTCCCGCTGGTCGGTCGCAGATCTGCCCACCTTTCGGGCACGGGTGGAGGCTCTGCTCTGCCCCTACTCCAATTGGGGTGTCGTGACTACCCCGCCTGCAGGACGCTGGGCCTGTTCCTGGCACGGGCGGCGACTCTGCTCTGCCACTACTCCAATTAGGGTGGTGTTTGTACCACGCCGGCAGGCTCCTGGGCCTGATCTGCCGGTCTGTTGTAGGTCTGCCTACCTTGGAGGCGCGGGCGGCGGATCTGCCCTGCCCCTCCTACCACGCCTGCGGACCCCTGGGCCTGATCTGCAGGTTGATCACTGGTCTGCTCGCCCTGCGGACACGGGTGGCGGTTCCGCTCCGCCCCCACTCCAATTGGGGTCACGTGACCACCACACCGGCAGGGCCTGATCCGGGCGTGGCAGAAGGATCTGCTCTGCCCCTACTCCAGTTGGGGTGATGTGTGTACCACACTGGCAAGCCACTGGGCCTGACCCGCCAGGCTGTCACAGGTCTGTTTACCTTGCCCGCGCGAACGGCGGCTCTGCCCTGCCCCTCCTACCACGCCCATGTACCACTGGGTCGCGGGTCTGCCCACCTTGCGGGTGCGGGTGGCGGCTCCGCTCCGCCCCCTCTCCAATTGGGGTCACGCGGTCACCACGCTGGCGAGTCGCTGGGCCTGCTCTGGGCGCTGGCGGCGGCCCGGCTCCTCCCCTCTGGGTCGATGACAAATTGAGGAGACTCGGGTGACTGTGCCTCACCCCCCCTACCAGGAGACCAACTGCTTATGTCTCCGCTGGTATTGATGAAGTTCTCTCCTCCGCCTCTTTCTGCTGACATCAGATCTCTGCCATGTTGGTATCCTATGCGAATGGCAGCATTTCGTTCCCCTTGCCAGGCCTAATCATTGTTTTTAGCTAGACCTTTTTATATTTAAAAAAGGTAGGATAGGGCTGGGGCTATAGCTACGCGGCAGAGCACTTGCTTAGCCTGTGAGGCACTGGGCTTGATCCTCAGCACCACATAAAAATAAACAAATAAAATAAAAGTGTTGTATTCATCTACAACTACAAAAAAAAATTTTTTTAAGCTAGGATACATGCTTTTCTGTTTGTACATTTAAAGGACACTGTGTCATGAATTCATACTGATTTTTCCCAAAATCCTTTTATCTTAAAACTAATTCCTTTCCTTATTGCTGAATATATATCATAGTTTTCAGAAACATTGGGAAAGTCAGACTATCACATAATTGTTCATTTGTTTTATCTGACAGTACAAATACAACAGTCTGAGAAAAAAAAATCTTATCAACAGTACCACTTCTGGTGTGATTTCTGTGAACAGCCCCCCGCCCCAAACACATATGCCCAGTTCTTTGTATCTTTAGAACACATACCACCAAATCACTCTGGTTTTGTTTTTGTTTTCATTTTTGTTTTTTTGGCGGGGTGGGTACCTGAGATTCAACTCAGGGACACTCAACTACTGAGCCACACCCCCAGCCCTATTTTGTATTTTATTTAGTGACAGAGTTTCACTGAGTTGGCTTAGCGCCTTGCTATTGCTGAGGCTGGCTTTGAACTCTAGATCCTCCTGTCTCAGCTCCCTGAGCTGTGGGGCTACAGGCATGCACCACTGTGCCCAGCCAAATCACTCTGTTTAATGTGACCTACAATACTTCCTATGTACTTAGGTCAGTTATTATTCTTTTTGATGCTTAAATTATGCTTTCTTCAGCTAGTAAGAGCCTATTCAGTTTGACTTCTGAGTCTTTTTAATACAACCCTAGTAGTTTTTGATTCTTTGCTTCCTAGTATGACAGGCTGTTCCAGGTTATTCTTATATATTTCCTGACAGGGAACCAGCCATCCAGATGCCCTGATTAGAGATAATCTAGGCTTTCAGGGTGTAAATTCAACTCTGTTGGACATAGTTTCTAGGCCTTTCAGTGGTCAGAGAGAGGATACAATTTTTTGCTTTAAAAAACATACACAATTAGCTCAACTTGATAGTTCCAATTCAAATTTTATGTTTTATTTGCCTTTTTGCTTCTTATGCTAAAAGTCTTGGTTCCTGATGACATTAACATATTTCTTATTTTGCATATATATAAACAAAGTATACACATATAATTTCTGAGTAACTCTTAATAACAGTATGGTTTTGAAGTTTTAAGTGTCAAGACTTTTATTTAATATTTGAGGATATAGCTATCCCACAAGGTATTGAGTTATTTTGTTTTGAAGTCATTAAAATAGTTTTTTTCTATATGATTAGGCCACTGAATTGAAACACAGGTTTGTTTCATTTTGATTTTGATATCAAGGTATTACCCTTTTTTTCTATTTGCATTTAAATTTGTTGTATAATTCTGTATAACATTTTCATAGTTTCAATGTAAATTTTAAAAACAAACCTACCTTTTCTCTGTCCTGTCCACTCTCTTCCCTCCCACCTACAAAGGTGGTCATTTTTGGTAACCATTTTTTTTTAAGTATATATGGTTACCTTCCTTCCCCCATTTCTTATATAAAAGGTATCTTAGTCTCTTAGTCTGTATAATAGAAATAGCATATTCTGGAGCTTATTCTATAAAGAGATTCTTTATTCCCCTTTCTGTCTATATTTCACTTTTTGTTACAGGACTTTTTTTTAACAAACCAGATTGCTAATGATAATAATAGGTAAAACTTGTTTTCATGTTGAATTATGATCTTGTTATAAAATTTACCATCAAAGGTATTTTAGTTGTTTCAAACTTATTTAAAAGTCTCCAGGGAAGTGTTCATGGGTATTCAGGTTCCTTGGTCATAGTGGTGAACCCACTTCTCTGTAAGCTTTTTCTTAGGTGTTTTCACCAAAACCACTTATATGCCTCCATTGTTATGCTGATGATGTACTAGCTAGCCTAGACCTAGGATACTTGCCTTGTCACCTACTTTACATCTCCTTTTGGATGTCTCACAACCACATGGGTGTCTGCTACATACAAAGTAGAACTTTTTGCCCTCCACCCCCCCCCCCCAAAAAAATCATGCTGTCCTCGTCCTGCATAACCCTTACTCTACATCTTCTATAGCCACCCATTTACTCAAACTGCAAATGTAAGCACTAGCCTTAATGTATTCATTTTCTTCTCTTTCCACATGTAGCCCATCAGCTAATCCTGATGATTTTATCATTAGAATAAATGTCCAGGCTGGTGTCTTTTCCACCCTCTCTGCCACCAACCTTGCTGCATCCACTCATGTCAGATCACATTTCCCTTCATTGTATTGAAACCCTCCAGGCCCTAGCCCTAATCCCCAGCTCTCCATCCACTCTGGTCTTCTTTTAGTCATTTAAATATACCAGGCCCATTGCCCACCTTTGGATTTTGCACTGTTATTTCCTCTGCCTGCATTGTTCTTTCTACTGCTATACACATGACAACCTTCTTATTTTCCCTTACTTTCTCAGCATGACTTTATCTAGAGCAGATGTTAAAATTCTTTATGCCCAAGTTTGTTTCTTTTATAGCACTTATTACAACATGCAATTTTTTGTGTTTATTTATTTGTTCCTTACCTGTCTCTTTCACTAAAAGTTAGGAACTCTTTCTGGTATTCATGTTTATATCCATCAGGTCCAAAACAGTAGCCACTTTAATATGAGCTTGGTAAATATTTGTAGAATATACAGATATATAATGAAATTCCCAAAACACTTGGAATTTTATGAAAAGCTCTGCCTGCTCATGCAGAACCTATTACTGAAGTACTCCCTACAGCATTCCAAAATGACTAAATATTTCATGAAATATAAATAATACTAACACAAAAAAATAACTAAAAGTGTGTATGAGTGTATGTTTTGGTGGTAAATGGCTAGCATGTGGGTAGTCTTCAAAACACACTTAAGATTCTGAGATTGTTAGTAAATTGGCTTTTATAAATAGCCACTACAAGTTGGACTCCATGATTTACATGGGCCAGAAGATAAAAATCTTCTGAAATAGAAGAATATAGAAACTAGAAGCCAATAACCTGCAATAATTCTTTTATTACTTTAGATTAACTTATGATTATTGCTAATGATTGTTGTCAACAGCCTTTCAGTTAGAAATTTTGTCCAAATATCAATGAAACAGAAGGTACAGAATATTCAAAAATACACCAAAGTAGGTGAAAAGAGTAAGATATGAATAGATGATAATGTCCTTTTTTAAATTTTGAGGATTAATATCAGAATTACAAAAAATGTCCAACCTACATATTTCTTACTTTTAGGTTGAGCAAGTAAATATGCATTACAATACAAACATTTCCTTCTAAAACTCTTCAACAGGACTCTGACTTGAAGAAAACTGTGGATGAAAGTGCACGGATTCAGAGAGCATACAACCACTATTTTGATTTGATCATTGTAAACGACAATCTCGACAAGGCCTTTGAGAAACTACAAACTGCCACAGAAAAACTAAGAATGGAACCACAGTGGGTCCCAATCAGCTGGGTTTACTGATGATTCAATAAGGTTAACAATTAAATAAAACTTTTAAAAAGTGACTCAACAAATAAATCTTGTACTGAGAAAGTACATGCACAGATAGAAGATACCTGCCAAATCTAGGCATTTTTATTGTGTAGATTGAGATAACAGTACACTATTCTGAATTTTTATATAAAATGTGGTTGAAAAGGTGTACTAATATATAATTTATCTTAATTTTTCTAACTTTCTATGGATAATCTTTCTATTCATATCATAAAGAAATGCGTTGAAGCATTTTGTATGTTTTGATTTAGTACCCTTGCCTTTTTCATCAAAGAAATTTTCCAGTCATTCACACTAACATTGGTCTCACATTTTCACTGTGATAATGAATACTTGAAATAGTTTTGTAAAGCTGTTGTTCAGTTCGGTATTTAAGTAGTGAAGGGTCACTTACTCTAATTAGAAGAAAATAGTAGTTATTGACCTACCTTCTTGATCAAATTTCTTACAGAAACAAAATCTTAATGTCAGTGTCAGTTAGTCTTCTACCATTTAAAGACTTGAACATGAAAAGTCTGTTCAAGGCCACATATTTTTCATTATTTCAGAGATGTATGGCTATCCATTCTAATTTGTACAAATAGAATAGTCTTTTCATTTGTCATTAGTGAAAAAATGAAGAGCAATACCTTGCACTCTCCTATGAGGTTCTTCTTTTCATTTATTGCCATGACATGCTGATGCTAACTAATTTAGCATATACACATAAGCTCGGGCTAGAAGCAAGGTCATGCAGACTAAGAGAGTGCCTTATCCTGTAAAACCTTACACAAAATGATGCTTAAAGAAAGTTTATTTATTTTATATGTAAAACTTATTTGAACCAATTACTTTAGTTTTCCTTAAAGAATATGGTCAGCAAAATATGGCTCTGCAAATTTGTGTAATGTTTGACAATTTAAGTTTGCAGTTAGTAGTTTTTTGTTGTTGTTGTTTTTTGTTTTTTTTTTTTTTTTGTGAATGATCATCGTGCTTTTTGAAATACATGATCAATAGGGTACTTGTTCTATTTGTTGCGTCAAAGATTAAATCCAAGCCAGACACAGTGGGACACACCTGTAATCCCAGCAGCTCTGGAGGCTGAAGCAGGAGAATCGAAAGATCAAAGCCAGCCTCAGCAACAGCGAGGCACTAGGCAACTCAGTGAGACCTTGTCTCTAAATAAAATACTGAAAAAAAAGGACTGGTGATGTGGCTTAATGGTTAAGTATCCCTGAGTTCAATCTCCAGTACCAAAAAATAAAAGATTGAATCCACTGAATAATTTACAAAATTTGAGAGTAACTGTCAGCTGTCATGTACACATACACGTATATACACACACAATACATATGTATAATATTACATATACTATGTACTATGTATGTTAAGTAATTTTTATATTTTTTTATATTTCTCTTAGGAAACAGACTTTTTTGTTTAATGATTAGGAAAAATGTCCTCTTTAAATGCATTGATATAATACACAAATTTCCACATTCACCTCTGTTAATATCTTCTTCAGGATTCTTGGATGGTATAAATTCTTCCTAAAACATATTCAGATATGCAGCCATCACTAAACTAAGTTAACCATATTCTATGTTACAGTTAACTTTTCATATATACAATATTCACACTTTTAAGGGTTTGGTGCTTAACTATTGATGATCATCTTTGTCTAGTGGCCTCAGACACCTGGCTGCTGAATGTGTTTCTCCCCTCATCCAAGCTGTCACATGGAGTGCCAGCTGGGAAGAGAAAATATATGGCAATAAACTGTATTCACACACTGTGTTTTAAATCATTTTCACAATGAAATGATATACACAAATTGCTGTATTATTAAAATTGGAAAGCTATAGATTTTTTAAAGTTCTAATTCCAGAATCACATAGCCGGTTCATAAATTTGTTTTTCTTTTAAGCTACATGAATCAAACGCACAGTATCAAGTTGGTGTCCTGTGACTTAATGTTTTAACACACTGTAAAGTTTAAGAGAAATTTCAGTTCTGCACTCTCAGGAAATGCACAGTATTATCCAGTGTACCTTCATGCTGCTCCATGAGGCCTATCTAAACAGCTGTGGGATAACTCTTGCAGCACAGGAGTTTGTCCACAAAATATTTCTACCTTCTTGGTACAACAGAGATGACTTTCACATATATATTTTTAGCCTTGTGTGATATAAAAATGCATATTATCTGGAATATAGTCTATACTTAAAGAAATTATTTCTATAATAAATGTATTTATAATTGATTACATAATTAATGCAGATTACGTTCCTCCTAATATGGAATGAAATGATGCAATTTAGTTCATTTCAGCATAGATGCAAATGCTGAAGAAAAATAAATTCAGAAAAGTTCATTGTATCTCAGTGAAGAGTCACCAAACTTGAAACCCAAACAAACTAGCAGTGCTGTGCTGAGGCAAAGAGGCCCAGAGATTCTACCCTGGATTCTTCCTAGATAATATGATCAAAGAAATGTGTACAAGATAATAAGACTTTTTTTCTGAAAGCTTTACTGAAAAGAAAATGGTTTACAGTGATATTGAACAATTATAATAGATACAGTACACACACACACACACAGGTGCTTTGGAGATACATGGCGTGTTGATACATGAATGCAAATGAGGGTTGCTTATGGACTGTTGAGTGTCCACGTTCAGCATTCAAGGCATGACTATTTATAGACATTAAAGGTTATATATTTTCAAATGTTTAAATGCCCATAGAAGTAAAGTCCCTGAATAAGTCATTTAACTAGAGCTACTGGAGTATGCTTTATACCCTACAAGTAGAATTTTCACTTTCATTACAGGTATGATTTTATTAGGCAATCTCCATTTTTATTTGATATTTATATAATATCAAATGTCAAATACATCAGGGTTTTTTTTTTTTTTTTTTGTGGCCAACTTTGTACAATTGCTGACCATAGTTCTAAAATAGAAATTGTTTCAGAAAACCAGTATTACTATAGCAATAGTAGCCTAAACCCAGATTCTAGAATCTAGTATAATAGCCTATAAGGAGTTACCTTTAAAACAGCAAATTGGTTATTAAAACAAATTTAGAAAATAATCCATAGTTATACTCAGTACAAAAAAAATATAACCCAAATTAGCAATAAAAGCCAATAGCATGACATTACAGATTATGACCAGATATTGTTTTGGCCATAATATCCTAATGACAATAAAGCACTTAGATATAACACATGTCATGATCCTGTGATTGGAGTTGATTTTTAAGATGGATAGCCAGAGTTAGGTATAATTTTGGATTAAAAAATTCAAAATGAAAAAGCTTTGAAAATTGGTCAAAATAATAATCTACTTAAATTTTTTGTGACTTCTGAAACAATACTCCATTATTCAGAAATCACAGGCTAGATAGAACAATAATTTTACATAATCTTTATACTAAATATGGAAAAGGCAACCCTGAAGTTTTATGTACATAGATCTTTTTTTTAATGTTTGAGTTGACGTGTGTGTATACACCTCTGTGTTTAATATGTGATATCCTCTCAAAACATACAATTAATAAAACCAAATATACTCACCAATTTATGATAGCCAGTGTTCTAAAATTTTTAATCTCAAATTCCTAGGTAATTAAAACTGTTTTAGATTGTTTTGAAAGGCTTGATTCTACCTTTAAATTGACATTAATCTCCTTTCTGAAAAATATATGAGAAGTTCAGAAAATTATTGTTCATGATTATAATTTAATTTCCTTAAGGAAAAAAAAGAGTTCTGGATGGAAGCATTTTGGGAAATATTTAACCCTTCAATTTAATTTGTTGATAAGATTCAGGCTTCAAAGTTGTGAGACATGCCACTCCTTGTTTGAAGGGATTTGCTGTGAGAATTCATGTAATAACATGTAATATATTTGAAGTTCTTAGGAGAAATTCAATATTTTAAATAATGGGATATTGTATATAGTGCAAGCAAATATTTACAAACTTTTAAGAGTACATTTAATTATTCAGCATCTTATCAGTTTTTATGTAAGTGTATGTTATATACCTGAGGAAGATGATGTTCTATAGTTTTGTAAGGTTATTTTTTAACTGCATATTTATTCTAGTTTTTTTCAAGTTATATTCTTTTTTTAAAAAAGATTTCTTATATTCCATCATGTTACCATGTGTGTTTCTGGAATGAGTTTTGAAAAATTCACAATCAAATGTAAGTCCTCAGTGCATTAGAAAGCAAGAAAATGATGGTATCGCATTTTTAAGGTAAGAAGCATGACTTATGTCACTTTGGCAAAATAATCTCTCATGATAAAAGTGAAAATAGTGTCCTTCTAGCTATGATCCTAATTCTTCTACCATGTGATTTTTTGATAAACTTTACATCTACCTTTACATTTGTTATTCTACTTGTTAAGTAGGCTTAAGTTAATACTTGTCTTCGCCTTAAATGATTCGGAGTCATTATTTATAACTGAGATGTGGTAAGTATTTATTAGGTTACTTTATTAAATGTATTCACTTATTTTGAGGTTACTTTTCTTTCAGTTCCTTTAAACTGTACCTCTTTCTGAGGTCATGCAGTGGATGGTAAACACCATTCAGGAATCCTACCTCCAGGTTTAAAACAGCCCCAAGGATGCAGTTCCAGCCTGGAAGAGGGTCTGCTCTGCTTTCTCAGCTATCCTAGTGAGGAGGTCCTTTTTAGTTTAGAATCCCATTCCAAGTCCAAACTTTTAGCAAATCTTATGCCAACCAGACTACTCACAAAATATAAGTAAGCAGTCCAGTACTCTTACATCAGAACAGACTGATCTTTGCCCCTTAAAGCTGCCCTACTTTATTGTTATGCCTAAAATTTATCACTGCAGCCCTATTACTTAACCCATAGTGTTAAGTTTAACAGACATCTATTTCTTTATAGGAAGAAACATTGACTGTTAGGTCTCATTAATGAACTTCAAATTTCAGATAATAGTTATTTCTCCTTATAACTGCTTCTTGGCCACTAGTTGATAATGCAGTGTTATGATAAATCTGATTTATCTTCACACACAGAAGGTCAAAAGCAGCAGTTCTTCTTTTTCTCCTTTTTCATACTAGCCTTTGTTGTTTTCTATTTTCTAGCACAACTGAGAACACGTCTATAGTTAAGATAAATGCTACTTGTATTTTGGAAATTAAATGATTTACTAGTAATAAATCAACCTTCTTTGAGTCCCATGAAGTAAGTAGTGTTGCTACTATAAAACAGA